GCACTCCAGTCTGGGCGACAGAGTGAGACTCCAACTCAAAAAAATAATAATAAATAAAATAATAATAATAATAATAATAATAAATGTACCTCCAGAAAATAGCACCTGGCACACAGTAAGCACTCAATAAATAGTTGTTGAGTGGACAATGAGTCAAGTAATATTCTGAATACTAAAGGAAAATCACATGAGGAGAAAGGTCTTACACCTGTTCTTCCTAAAGTAAGCTGCCTAACTCCCTAAACACCACTATTACAGTTTGGGTGATATTTTCATGCCACATTTATTTAAATGTCATTAAAATGACTCGATTTTAACTATATTTTCATTCATCTCAGTATATATTTGAAAATGCATCTTTAACATGGAAATGATTGAGTTAATTAAAGAAATGCCTCCCTTAAATTTTTCTAGCTCACTTTTCAAAATTTCTTTATTTAACCCATGGAATTAGAAGAAATGTCAATGAACTTGGCGTGCTTTATTTTTTTCCTCCCAGAAAGCAGGTAAGCAGTAGATTCCTGGATTGTTCCTAATAAATTTATAAATGCAAGTTTGGTAGATGTCCAATAAAGGATTGAGTTCTGCAGTTTCCTGATGTTTGCCCTTCAGTATCTTGATATCACGACATGCCCAAATCCCACCAGCATCTCCATGACATCAGAAGCCCCTTCCCGAAACAGAAACCTGACATGATCAGTCATGTCACAGGGAGACGCCAGAAGCAGAGCCACAGGTCAGAAAAACAACATGAGACACATTCATGAGAAGGCCACACTAACACTGGAGCAAGCATTTCATTTGGGGTCACTTTTTTGGAAGACAGTAAAATGTTCCAAAGATAAGATCCAAAGAAGAGAGTAGCACATATTATTCTACTTGAAGAACCACATGAAGAGACAGAAGATGAGTTTGGAATAGAGTTTTCTTTTCATCAAGCACTGTACTGAGAATGAAGCAATAAGGGATTCTATGTGACATTTTCTGAAGTCATGTATTTTTAGTCAACAGATTTAACTAGTACAAAATTAGTATTTGAGAGTTAGCATAAAAACAAAAGGGGGAAACCCCTTGCAAAACATCTCTTGCAAGTGCCTCTCACTGGTAACACAGCATTTAAGGCATCAAAGTGGAAATACAAGTCTTAGATTATAAGCAATTCATGTATTTTGAGTTTGTACACTGACATAATCACCTAAAAAATAAAATCGGATATCCAGTCTGGGAAGACAGGATAGCAAAGACTTTTTTTTTTTTTTTTTTTGCTGTACTTGGAACTAATGACAAATTATGTTACTATTTTTTCCCCCAATGGAAGAGTGTAATTCTCAGTTGTGGAGCGTGCATTTAGGGTAAAAGCAATTATAATGGAGCAAATGTGATTCAAAGCTCTGAAACAGTCTAAGGATGCTCTTTCAGAATCTGAGACAGCATCTGCAGTTTTAATAGCACACTTTTAGCGTGGCAAGAGGTTAATAGGTTAGCAGCACACCGGAGAAAAGAAAAACATGTAAGTGATTTAGTGATTACCGATACGGTTCAGTTTTTGTCTTTCTCAGGCTCTTCTCACGAGGGGTCAGAGGCACCCGTTTCCAGAGCATACTCCAATCCCATGCTCCTCGGGCATACCCATCTTCATCACCACCCCCTTGGGGGACAATCTCATATGTGTTGCCATTTATGACATCTATGAGCGGCACAGTGCAAATGGTTCTGTGTTGTGGTATTGATGATGGAAGGTGTGTATGGACCCACAAATGTACACGAGTTCATGGGGAAGGAAAAAAAAGTACTTAGGTAAACATTCAACATAAGAAGAGAAAGTAACAGTCTTTACCGATAAGGTTCAGTTTTATGCTTTCTTTTGGCCTTTTCCTTGTGGCTTAGTGGAATACGTTTCCACAGTAAGCTCCAGTCCCAGGCCCCTCGGGCAAGACCATCTTCATCCCCACCTTGCTGTGGTTCAATGGAATAATCATTCCCATCTATGTAATCTATTAGAGGCACAGTGCATGTCGTTCTGAAACATTTACAGAAAACGAAAAGGCATTTAAGACCCCAACATGAATAGTTCAGCATGCCTGGCTGCATTGTCCCTCTTGGTTGTTGACTTGTTTTTGCACTGGGGGATCTTTACATCTAATGGGAAACAGAGTAAAGGGCGGCCCCTTAAAAGCTAAGGAGCCTGTTTGTGAGCAGGTGGGAGAGAGGCGACTTCCTCTAGGATAACAGGCAAGTGACAGGGACAAAGCGTTGTCTCAGCATCACGGAGCTTTCTCATTTTCACTTTGGTCCTACAGGCACTTTCTCTTGGTAATTCTGCATCATTTACAAGATTCTCCAGTCTGTTATTTTCCCTCTCTATCCCCATTAAAAAGTGTGTGTGTGTGTGTGTACACAGATAGTACTTGCCACATTCTTAGCATTTCTCTCAACTCTCTTGCTTTCCATCTCTTTGGGAGCAGTTATTATGAAAATGTGTTTCTGTGTTTTTTACTTGATCTTCTTTCCTACTCCTTTAAATGCAGAAAATAGCTTTTATTGAAAAAAAAATTCCTCAATTTACTCCTCTTAAGTGGTCTGAGAATATAGGGGGAAAAAAAACCCGCTTACATTTGGGTTTCATAACTAGTCCTATGTAATCAATTAGATGCCAAGTCGACATCACAAAGATAACCAGATAACCAGGTACCCTGCTTGTTTTGGGCCTCTTCTCATCAGAAAGGATTTTAAAATGTATTTTCCCAAAATAAAGATTACACCTGCTCATAAACAGGTCAAGGTGCTTTTCAGATGTTCAGAAACCAACGAAAAGGAAAAACCTTCAGACTCAGGGTTTTCATATGAGGGAAGTGGATTCTGGAAAGGGGCTTCCTTCCCTCTTGAGTGTGAACTCACACTTAGGGTCACTGTAGGGTATATTGGACAGCCACTGGGATCTGGAATGCCACGTCTTCACAGCCTAGGGACTGCCGGAGCTCACCTGGAAAGCTCCCAGAACCCTGGTCAGTCACCTGCCCTCACGTCTCCCGATTTTCACATTTCTAAATAAATAATGTAAAGTGTCCCAGAGAGACCTAGCCTTGACAGTTTCTCAGCTGTCTATTCGGGGCAAATTACTTAATTTTGCTAAGCCTCAGTATTCCCTTCAGTCCAGTGGAGCTAACAATCTCTATCTTGCTGGGTTGCTGTGAGCATGACATCAGACAGCACATGAAAAATGTTTATGATAGGCCTTCACCTGAAATCCTCTCAAGATCAAATCCTGACGAGTTGTTCCTCTGAGTCATGTCAACTGCCATTTGTCACAGGGACATATCTTATTTTCCAAGATTCTGAAATAGAGTTCTGGACTAGAAGGAAGGAAGGCTTTTGGAACTGAAAAACTGATGATGCTTTCTGTTGTTTCAGACATTTCGAGAACTTTAATAGTGATCACCACATTTCCATGGAAGAGTTATCTATTCTAAACTTTACAGTTTCTGCAGGAACCCAAAGCCTTGACATAAGTTACAGCTGGTTTTTACCACCTAAAGTAGTAATTTAAAAGGGCATAAAAATCGATAGGTATAATATAAAGTATGCTACCTCATGTCTACAGAATACTTATGCCAGTTGAGAGGGAACAATTAACATTAGTCTTAGAGATAGTATCTGAAGATAGAGGACGTCTTAGCAACCCAACAAGATGATTCTCCGGAGAGAAACCCCAGGTTTCTCCTAAATGCCAGACCGCCTACACTGGAATCAGCCCAAATCTCAATCTAATTCTACCCAAGAAAACTACTGGCTAAACACTCAAACACAACACTTGATGCACTGAAGGGAACTGGAACCAAGGAATGAGAATACTATTTGGCCTTCTAGGGCAAGGTTTACTTTTCAACCGGGAAAGAAAAAAAGCAAGGTAATGTTACCTGTCCTTAGATATGGGAGCTACAAGTGGAGCATACCAGTTAACTGCCACCTCACAGTGGGCATCAAGGTATATCAAAACCTTAAAAAAAAGAGGCAGGTGAAAGAAAACTCCTCATATATGGTACATCATATATTATACACAATTCAAGATTAGATGCTAATAATGATTAGCATTATAGTCAATTTTGACACATAAGTTATCTGTTTAAGCCAGCATTCTCATTTCAGTTAAAAAAAAAAAAAAGCTGAAGGGTGATGAAAAATGTATATGATTTAGTTACCAAATCCCAAACGTTGACAAGGTAGATATGAAATGCTTCCTACCTGTCCAAGTTTAGCCTTCTGAGCACCGATACTTCGTGCTTGAATTAAACCTTCTCTTCTCTCATTTCGAAATACCTTCACTAGGCCATTCCATGACTTAATGTATTCATCCAGTTTTTCTTTTAAGTGTTCTATGAATTAAAGCATTCAATCAATATTATTAATTAGACTTATGCATGTAAACCAATTAATTATTATTTTCTCAAGAAACAAGTACGTTGGGCAGTCAGTAATTTTACATGAACCAATTTTACCTGAATGTTTCATTTAAGAAGGAAAGTGAAGTGTATTATTTAAGTTAAAATTTGAACTTAATGAGCCTACAGAGAACTAGTTAGTCTGAGAATTAGCAAACATCCCCCAAACATTAAATAATGAGGCAGAAGAATCACCAGAGCCCAGCAGGTCAAGGCTGTGGTGGCCGGGAGCGGCCACTGCACTCCAGTCTGGGTGACAAAGTGAGACTCCAACTCAAAAAATAAAT